GAGAAAGAATATGAGAGAGAAGGAGAGAGAGAGAAAGAGAGAGAGAATGAGAGAAAGAATGAGAGAGGATGACAGAGAGGATGAGAGAGAGGATGAAAGAGAAAAGGAGAGAGAGAATGAGAGAGGATGAGAGGATGAGAGAGAATGAGAGAGAAAGACAATGAGAGATTTTTTTTTCCTTTTTCCTTTCTGACAGCTTTTCAACTTTGACTCTATTTGCACAGTGAGCCAGGCAAACATTTGAGTCACCTTGGGCAGGACCTAAACAGTGTCCTGACTGCTTGACTGTTTTATGTGTAAGCAATTCGTCTGGGAGCCTTTCCGTTGTGAGAACGAAGGCTGATTCAACGTGCAGGAGAGGGCTGGATAACAGGATCCTTCCCTACTAGCTGGGATGGCCCTTGACACAGTTGTAAGGCAACCTCTTCTCGTCCCATTCTCCCCCCCCAAAAAAAAGCAGTTGTGAATCAGAAGGGGAGTGTGTGTGTGTGTGTGTGTGTGTGTGTGTGTGTGTGAAAGCAGAAGGTTATAAATTGTTATAAATAGCTATGCAATGTGTGTTTGGGTCATGTTCTGGCAAAGCGAGTGGGAAGTTCAATTGAAGAAGTAACTGACCCGTCCCATGACTTTGGGATTTATTAAAACAGGAGGATACACACTTGAGTTGCAGAAGGAAACTTTGGATCAGAGTTACAAGCAATCTCATTTTTTAAAACGCCTGGGGCGTAGAGATCTTCTTTCATGGGCTTTTGAAAAGGTAAGCTACTGTTTTTGTATTTAGAAGCAGTCCAGTAATGAGTGTTAAGTCATGTGAAATGAAAACCATTTTTTTGTCCCCCTCTCCTCCACTGGTATTCTAAACAAAGTGGATGGCTTTAGAGATGGATTAGGGAGTGAGAATTTTTTTAATTGCTCTTTTTTTATTTATTTAGAATTCTGGCAATTGGAAAAAGAATAACATGTTGCCTTCTGCATTTGGCTTGTTGCACAGATTTTATATATATATGTGTGTGTATATATATATATATTTGGGTGTATATATATATATTTGTTTGTTTTCGTACAAGACCTATATATATATATATATTCCCCATCTGTAATATTTTGTGATATTGAGAATCTGTATTGAATAGTGGATGGATGGATGGATGGATGGATGAATATGTGTGTGTGTGTGTGTATGCATGTGCATATATATGCATGTGCATATGTATATGTATACGTATACACACATACACATACATACACACATACATACATACATACATACATACATACATACATACATACTTTGTGGTATACATCCATATTGTATCCAGTACAGATATATAGTACAGATATACTATACATCCATCAACCATTAAAGACTGTTGAAAGAACTGGGCATGGCTAGTCTAGAGAAGAGAAGGGCTGCCACAAAGAAGAAGCTAAGACAAAAAAAACCCACCAATGGTTGGAAACTAATCAAGGAGAGAAGCAACCTAAAATTAAGGAGAAACTTCCTGTCAATTAAGCAGTGGAACAACTTGCCACCAGAAGTTGTGGCTGCTCCAACACTGGAGGTTTTTAAGAAGATACTGGACAACCACTTGTCAGAATGGAATGGAATGGAATGGAATGGAATGGAATGGAATGGAATAGAATAGAATAGAATAGAATAGAATAGAATAGAATAGAATAGAATAGA